GTGGGCATAACCTCAGAATCCGCCATTTTAAAATGGCGGCGGCATTTATTACATGAAACTCATTAGGAGCTTATATCTCGAAAACGGTAATATATAGCGAGTTACTTTTATAACAATAAATGTTGCTTAGACAATAAGGAAAAACTTTTGTATTTACAAAAATGCCCTAAATATAACTATTTAGGAGTAGTTGAGCAATTTATGTTAATTCAACCTATAAATTTTTACTTTGTTTGACAAAAAAATTCTAATATCTTTAAAAAACTGTTCCTTTTTAATTTTGCACATAGCACTTATTTCTCTTTATATTTAAGGTCAAAATACCCCCACCGAAGCAAACCTGCAGACTAAGCAAACATTTACCTGGCTGCATTTCTACTAAAATATTAAAATTGTCATATTCATAGTATTTAACCTATACATTTTATCTCTGTTGCCAAAAAAATCAAATAATTATAAAAAAAAGCTGTTATTTTGTAATTTGGCACATAGCAAAAATTATTTCTTCGCATTTAGGGTAAAAAACCTGCAAAAAGCATTCGAGAAGCTTCTGGCAGATATATAAGCTATTAAAATAATATAACATATTTTTAAATTATTTTTTTGTTATTAAATGACGCATACAAATATAAAAATAAATATAAACCTTTCTATATACTGAATTTTTATTATTACAAATAATAATAAATCTACGGATGTAATAGAAATTATTATTATAATTCATAACATTTATTATTAAAACGGCGATGGAGCGGGAACGGGACCGGCGGCAAAGTTGGTGCATCGGCCAAGCATTGACGTCGCGTTAACACAACCAGTACCTTGACATTGTCCTTGGTGGTAGGCTGCTTTGGACTGATTGTATTGATATTGAACTAGTTTTGTGGATCATAAAATTTGAGCGCAGTTATTGGATCTAAATTATAAGCCTTTTGGGTTAAGAGGAATTATATCTGTTCCCTTTTATAGTCATCAGAAAAATTAAACTGTTCACAATATACTTGTGAGCATTGCGGCAAAGAGTAACCACCATCACTGTGTCCAAAACTCAAAGGATCGAGTTGAAAAACGTGTTCTTCCATGCAATGGATTTGGAGTAGGCTACAATAAAAAGCACGTAAGATATGCTGTATAGTAGCTCTACCAGACAGAAAATCTTTACGACCTAAGGATATTCTTTGTACAGTGACAGTGTAAGTATATCCAGTGTCTTAGATCAATCATAGTTTCACACTGAGTATCCTTTTTTTTAATGTGAACTAGATACTTCACTGTGTTTTTCAAACTTTATTCTATCTCTTCCTCCTCATCTTTTCCAAAGTCCATTAGCAAAGTACTGTACTTGGATTACATTTTAGGGTAGCACGCTTTGTTCCAAATTTGCTGGCAAAGTCACAGCCCGTTAAAATATGGAGTGCTGAGAGAACTGAGCAAAGGTTACTTCCAAGCCTGTTTGCTATAATGTGAACTAGTACATATCATGAAGTTCTGGCTGTACCAAGTCGCATCCACAAATCCTGCAAACCTTCCGAAGTGAATCCATTCATAAAGTGTAAAGCCAACACTACGACATCTGTATCCGAAGACAGAACTACGACTTAATTTGATAACTCGAGCAAAAATGATCCAATTTTGATGAAATTTATCACAAACGTGTAAACCTTCGTTTTCAGACGAATTCGGACTATTATACCAGCACGATCGGACTATGGGAACGGGGGTTTATGGGGAGTTTAATGGGGTAAAAATGGATTTTTACGATTTTCGACCCTAAAAACACGACATTTTATAATGAACGAAACCTTTTTGTAGAGCTCAAAAAATAAATAACTTTGTATATTGAAGCGTTGTATGCCCAAAAGTTACGGAAATAATAAAAAAAAAAATTTTAAGTTTAAAATTCCCATGTTATTCTTATGGAGAATAAATAAACTGTTTTAGTTTGCTTGTTTATGGATATATTATAGTCAAATTTCAAAAATTTTGTTTCATTCATACTAAGCTATCAACATTTCAATAAAAATATATAAAAAACACCTAAATACCTTCCCTGAAGCAGCAAACGTAAGTACTCATTACAAATCAATGTCATTTAAATAGGAAATCAATCGATCAATTTTAATATTTTAGTAGAAATGCAGCCAGGTAAATGTTTGCTGATTCTGCAGGTTTGCTGCGACAGGGGTATTTAGACGTTAGATGTAAAGAGCAATTAGTGCTATGTGGCAAATTTAAAAAACAGTTTTTTATTTTTTTAAAGATATTAGAATTTTTTGTCAAATAGAGTAAAAATGTATAGATCAAATTAATAGGGATGGACGGGATTCAATTTTTAGTTCGGGACGGGACGGGACGGGATTTTTATTTCCTTCCCGATTTTTGGGACGGGACGGGACGGGATTTTTTTCTGTGCATAAAAAGAAAGTACTGTATTGCAGTTACCAAAAAAGACATACGAAATCAATTTTTACCATTTGTGGCACTGATCTATAAAAACCAAAAAATGGGTAACAATTTACAGGTACCTATAGAAACTTGTGACTCGCGGGTCACGGGGTGATCGTCTGTATGACTCACGGTCACGGCGCGATCGTCGTCATTACTCGCGGTCACGGCGCGATCGTCGGTATGACTCGCGGTCACGGCGCGATCGTCGTCATGACTCGCGGTCACGGCGCGATCGTCGGTATGACTCCGCGGTCACGGGGTTATCGTCGGTATGACTCACGGTCACGGCGCGATCGTCGTCATGACTCGCGGTCACGGCGCGATCGTCGGTATGACTCGCGGTCACGGCGCGATCGTCGGTATGACTCCGCGGTCACGGGCTTATCGTCGGTATGACTCGCGGTCACGGCATGATCGTCGGTATGACTCGCGATCACGGCTCGATCGTCAGCATGACTCCACGGTCACGGCGCGATCGTCGGTATGACTCCACGGTCACGGCGCGATCGTCAGCATGACTCCACTATCACGGCGCGATCGTCAGCATGACTCCACGGTCACGTCGTGATCGTCGGTAGGACTCCACGGTCACGTCGTGATCGTCGGTATGACTCGCCATCACGGCATGATCGTCAGTATGACTCCGCGGTAACGGCGCGATCGTCGGTAGGACTCCGCGGTCACAGGGCGATCGTTGGTATGACTCGCGGTCACGGCGTGATCGTCGGTATGACTCGTGGTCACGGCGCTATCGTCTGTATGACTCGCGGTCATGGCGTGATCGTCGGTATGACTCCGCGGTCACAGCCCGATCGTCGTTATGACTCGCGGTCACGGTGCGATCGTCGGTCCAATAATCACGGCCACGGCGCGATCGTCGTTATGACTCCGCGGTCACGTCGTAATCGTCGAAATGACTTCGTCTCCTGCGTTCGCGGACCTATCGCTCGCAATAACGGCGTTATCGGCACTCGCGAAGCGGAAAAATCGCCGACGATCGGACCAAATCCCGTCCCGAAAAATTCCCGAGTCAAATGTAATCCCGTCCCGATAATCGGGAATATTTTTTTCCCGAAAAATTCCCGAAATTTCGGGACCCGTCCATCCCTACAAATTAACATAAATTGCTCAACTACTCCTAAATAGTTATATTTAGGGCATTTTTGTAAATACAAAAGTTTTTCCTTATTGTGTAAGCTACATTTATTGTTATAAAAGTAACTCGCTATATATTACTGTTTTCGAGATATAAGCTCCTAATGAGTTTCATGTAATAAATGCCGCCGCCATTTTTAAAATGGCGGATTCTGAGGTTATGCCCACTCTGCCAAGCTGGCACCCACGTGAAAAATGATAACCCATATAGTACCTACATGATCCCTTAGGGTGTTTTTCTATACATAAAATGCACACAGGAACCCCCCTAGCAAGTGGATTATTATGTTATCATTATGTGTACTTATAATTTAATATATTTTAGGTTCAATATATTTATCACAACAGTTAAGCTTAGTGATTTTGTTTGTTTTTTTAGAGTTGTTTTATGGTGTATTTGATGTTGTCGGTGATCCAATATTTGAGCTATATGTTTATGTGCGAATAGAACATCCCAAAAAGGTCTTTGATTTAGGTATGGTTGTTTCAGTAAGTGTTAGTAGTGTGTATTGTTTTACTTGAAAAACACACTGTGTAGTTTCTGTTCAAAAAATTAAAAAATAGAGAGAAAAGTGAAGAGAGTTTTCAGTACACCCATCTGTGGCAGAGTGTAATGGGTCGGCAAATGACTCATATGGATCGGTAAAACTCATTATAAGTTGTACCTCAAGTCAAATAATTTTGCTGCTTTTTTACTTATCCATAGCATGTGTGTGCTAACCAGGAACTTATTTTAGAGCATTTAGATCTTTGTGCTAATGTGCTGATGGAAATACATTAGTGAATCACAGAATAATTTCTGGATTTCAAGAGTTACACCTTTCTCTGCAGGTAGTATCTAGAATAAGAAAACACAGATGGCCAACTAAGATAAGTAGAACCATTGACTATTGGATACTGAAGTAGAAACCCCATCTATGGACCAGTTGTTGCCAATTTTTTTATTAAAAAAGAACGTAGTTGTGTGCCAGTCATGGAGTGCGCTAGTGTCTAAGATTCTATTTCCTACCTTATTTTTGTTGTTGACACAGTTGATGGGTCAAAATAGTTGCCATAGCACACAATAAATCATTCCATCTTGGTAAAAAGTATATTCAAAATTAGTACTTTAGATCAGCACAATCTGTTAGTGGCTCACATCCGCTCACGATTTTGATTATAAATCTAGCTTCAAATTTAACAAGAGGATGGAATATCTAGTTGTATCAATAGTCAAAGGTAGAACTAACTGAGAAATGAAAACCCCAACAAACATTAATATTTTTATTGGTAAAATCAACAATGTGAAGTAAAACAATACACAAATAAAATGGCCCTTGGATTAGAGTTAAAAACACTATGAAGTCAATGTTGGGTTAGCGAGAAGAAGAGAGAGAGAGGAAATGTCAAGAACTCACCGAGGGGCTGCGACTACCTCGCTTCTTCTTACTCTTCTTTCTTTTGTTTTTCCGCTTGTGATCAGAGTCGGAACTTTCAGAGTCACTTCTGGATCTGTGTCTTCGCTTCTTGCTGGACTTTGAATGGCCTCTGTCTGAGTCACTGTCCGACTGTAACATTCACTTTCGTTAGAAACTAGAAACAAAACAAATCTACATTGTTGAAAGAACTCAGAAACTTTCACTTATCTGTGGTATTTTAGGACAGTAAACGCCTTGTATTTTCCTTGACAAAAAAATACCAGTCTTTTGATTCTCTGCAAAGCGACAAATAACAATCGTAAATCACAGTTGGTGGTAACCAAGAATTTCAAATAATTCTGGAATATAAACACCTAAATCTTAAATAAATATGTAACATTTATTTTAGTGGTATGTATAATCTATTGTGAAAATCTATTCTCACAACTATTTAGTTTGTTTCAAATAAATTATAACATTAATAAACAATCTTTAGTACTGTTTACGACTAAATCACAGTAACGTCATGATCATCTACCGTGACTGCCACAACATTAGTAATCATGGATGATTGAATTGTAAATTGTTATCAATTCCCAGAATTGCAGTAACACTTTGAGATTCTTTCCAATCAAATTCCTAAAATATTAAAATATTTTCTATACATAACAATTTCCCATTAAATCAAACACTCTGACAATAATTTCCTTGAACAGTCGCAAAGGTTGTTGTAGGGCGGACGAATAGTGTATGAGATTTTATACAAGATTTAACTTTTAAATCTTTACCATCTTGATGTTATATTTAGTTGGATCTCTATTTTACTTTTTTTTTTGTATCGGTGGATTTATGATTTAACCTGATGATTGTAGTTTGCTAACAAAAATGACTACATACCCCACCAGATCTTGAGCGAGATCTCTTCTTCTGTTTTTTATTTTTCTTGGACTTCTTCGATCTCGAGTGATGATGATTACAGGCTTCTTCTGTTTCATGTTGATATTCCTAGGCAATGGAACAAAATATTGCTATTAAAACAAATCTACTGACCAATTAGTTATGCATGCAACAAATTTTTCATTTGTTTATCATGATTTGGTATCAATTACTGGTATCAAACAAACTTTACTGGTAAAGTTTATGGACATTTTTCATTTTTGTTACTGACAAACAAAACATCTTCTATCTGGTATCAATCAATTAGGAGACAAATCCAGGGGATGAGAGTCGGTGGGGTGTGGTTAATTGAGTTGAAAAAAGCGGTGGTTGTCAATTGGTGAGACCAAACACCTCCTTATGTATGAAATGCCATGGAAGTAATTCAGTGTAATAACTATTTACAGGTAAACTACATAGTACGGCTTCAGGTTTCATCATTGTACCTTGAAGATCCTGAGACGTTCAGACTCTATGCCGATGGCTCTGAAGGCCTCGTGGTCTGCCAGCTTGTCCCGCAGCTCGTCCCAATTGCTGTGATAGTCCACGTCTAAGTCTCGCAGCAACACACGGAATGCAGACTCTAGCTTGCGCAGACGACGGTTCTCCTCCTTCTGGCGTTCTTTCTCTCTCGCCTCGGCCTGTGATGTGAATTATGTTTAAAAAAAAAAAAAATAGGTTACTTGACTGTAGACTCTGATGGCATTTGTCATTGAAATATGAAATAATGATATTAACTAACAAAAGTCAACATTGAATAGGAGGAAGATAAGGTTTGTACAAAAGAATAGGTGTTTTATACAGCAGTATAATAGATACTTACACTGTGCTCCATTTTGATGAGATGGTGTTATATATATATTTTTTTTTATAAATGGCCTATCACATTTTCAATGTTCACAGAGCTTAAAGCAGCTATACGTGATGACTACTCTATCACACAAACAGTGTCTTTCAAATGCGACAATTTTACAAAAAAGTTGCATACATTTTTTTTGGGGGGGGGGGGGAAGAGGACCTGTTGCAAAAATTTATTGACTACAGTATTTTAAAACGTCCTGGCATTATTTCAACTAAAAAATTAAAATCTGAAATGTTTCCTTAGTCTTTTGTTTGGCAGTTTAAAAATACCAATAACAATTTCTAATTGGATAAGCCACACATGCAGCTTATTACATCTAAATATTATCTCAACAAATTTGATTGATTTGAAATACCCACCTTTTCCAGAAGAGCATTATACGTCAGCTTCACATTACCAGCGTCTAAGGTGGCTGATCTTCTGTCTTCACATACTACAGTCGCAAACTCTTCAAAAGTAGTGGATACCTAGACATCCCATACTAATTACTAATCAATTGTACTGAGTTGTAATAATGAAAACTATTCTTGTCGCACCACTCTTGTGGAGGCACAGTTTCTAGTTGTTGTTTTATTTACTTCTTACAGGGAAATTGACAAGAGAATCGTGTTTTAAAGATTTTCTACAATTTCAAAAACAGCTTCGCTTGTAATGTTTTTGCCATTGTAGTTTTACATAAGATTCTGTTATCTTTTAGACATAAGTACAGTGGAACTCCAACTATCCGAATCAACACATTGGGAGGGTAAAAAATTTGGATGATTGGATTCTAAACAAAATTTGTGGTATTTTACAGAAAATAGGCCAAGCCGAGCCAAGATTTTACTATTGGGATTGCAGAATACGTCCGTGCCGATTTTGTGATAAAAACGTTCAAGCTTCTGCCACAATCCCAGAGGTCGACTATGATCTTCTGTGACCGCAGTAGATAAAGATGGTGTTTACAAGACTGAGGAAAGTATTCAAGATTTTGCCGCAATTGCTTAAAAAGCTGACAATGTTTCCATGACCGTGGGAGACGATGATCATGTCTACAAGACCGTGGGAGATATTCAAGTTTTGGTTGTGATCATGGAAAACTATGACAATTTTCTATGGCCTCTGGAGACAATGATTATGTCCATACGACTGTGGGAGGTATTTTAAATTTTGCCACAATCACAGAAAACGATGATATGTTTCCAAGAACGGTGATGACTTCTAATTCAGTAGGAAATAAATTATAATTCCTACAAGACCACGGAAGACGCAATATTTTGCCGCAATTACAGAAATGTTAACGTTGTTTCCATGACCGCCGGAAAAGATGATCATGTCCATCCCACTGACGGTTATATTTTTTATTTTACCACAATGACGGAAGACGATGATTATGTTTCCCTGATTGTGGGAGACAATGATGATTACTGCAAAACTGCAAATGATGATGATTTGTGCAAAATGTTACCGCAATCATGGCTTCTGCATTTCAACAAAAATTCTTTTTACTGTTGTTTTATGGTTTTTTTTTAAATTCTTTATATACAAATTCAGATTATCAGTGATTTGGATAATGATTTCAAATAATTAGAGTTCTATTGTAATTTATGAACCAATTTTTTTGTATAGAACATTTGCATTTTATATAACATTACTGTTGACGCAGTTTGTTAATAGCTAAACATTTTAAATATTTGTAGATTTTGAAAATAATTTCAAAATAACATCATCATTGTGATGAGTTGTTTTTTTAAATAAACACCAAAAGTTTCATAAAATTGTTTTCATTGTTTGCTGTACATGAGGAGAGAAAATAGTTAAATGAATACTGACCTCAACATCAAACCCTTTCTCTTTGAGGATTTCTTTAATAATTTTTCTTTCGTCATGAAACCTCGACTTCAAGTCTTCTACGTAAAACTTGAACAAATCTAACGGCGTCGAGCCTGTAAAAGGAAAACAAGTACTGCTAGAGATTTTGTGGATAGTGATAACACGAAACAAATGTTCATAGATTGTTGTTCATAATTAAAATTTTGTGTATCCACAGTATTTCTTTGCATCTATTGATGGTAGCTGGTAGCATTACAGATTATTGATAAATGCTTTGAACTTGAACCCTAACATTATTCATACTGAATAAAGGCAAATCACCACTTTAAAAGCATGACAACTGACAAGTAGTAGCATGAAATATTTTACCGTTATCCAACTATTATCATCTGATGTACATCAGTCATAGGTAGATTGGGTAGTTAGGAAAATTTAGATTTAGGCCCTTTTCAAACTGGGCCAAATGTGCATGGGCCACCAGCTCAGCCAACAAGCTCACAGTTTAATCATGGACATCAAAGAAGAAGCAGGTGCTTTAGCATATATATTTTTTAAATTTCAAAAACGTCAGCAAAAAACAGTTTAGTGAACAGTCCAGTAAGAAACCATGGCGTGACGTGGTGGTGCGACCAGATTGGTGGCTTTGAAAATCGCAACCCCAAGCCACCGCCATTTCTGGAGGTGCGGCGGGCCATTTTCACACTAAGCGTTGGTGGTTAGAATGAAAATGTCCCATTTAAATCGATGCTAATGTAACTCAGCCACCATGGTGGTGTCGCCATGGTAGCCCAGTGTGAAAAGGGGCCTTAGGTCACATGAAAACAGGAGGAGTTCCCTTACGTAGTGTAGTCTAAACATTTAGCGTAGGAAAAGTCAATTTTACCTAAAACATGAGACATATGGCTATGTGATTCCTGTACAACCATTGCTTTTGCGTGTTAATGTCTTAGCATCTGAAGCCTGTTTTGATTTTGATGAGCGTTTCAGCAAACAAATAAAACAAACCATGGTAGGTCTATCTGGCTATGAGAAATCTTTTGGGAAAAATCCCTTCACTGATGGATGTACGATAACTTTAACTATTAATTATCACTTCTAAAAAAATTCAAATTTACCTGGCTGTCCCAGCATCGCAGAAAACCTGAGGTCTGCACTAATGATAGGGTACAACTCCACCCAGAGAGACATGGAGGTCAGCTTGCCTTGCTCATGGAGTTCATCCAATAACATCTATACAAAAAAATGCAAGAAGTTAAAACAGTGGCAGGCAATCAAACTCAGGGTATAGCGGAACTAATGGCACAAATCTGGAAAGTTATAACAAACAACAAAGTTTTGCAATAGGTTTGGTTTGACAACCATTGAAGTAGGTAGAAAATATATAGGTTATCTTCAAGAAGTAAAATCTGAAACACACCACATAGGCTTAAGGAACAATGTCAAATCCCTCAGGTTCCAAAATATTAACACAAGTAAACTACTTACGCCAAAATTATCCCTGTTCTTCCTCTGCTGCCGCTTCACTTTTTTCTTTTCTCGTTCCTTTTCTTCCTCTTCTTCTTTTTCCATTTCTCTTATATGATCTTCAAAAACTATTAGTGCATCTTCCTTGTCCATACCTATGATAGTAAAAGTAAAAATGTACCTAGATAAATTGATGAAGTAATCTGTAATTTAAGCAAGAACTTTTTGGTAATAATCACATATATTTATTTTAAAATTTAAAACTACTATAGCATACTTGTTTCTTAAATAACTAGCACAATCCTAATTCGAGAACCCTACCAAAATTATTGATCCCTTAAGATTTTATTAAAATCAAATCACATAATTAATATCTGGCTGATGTATCTTTATCATCATTACTGTAACTGTTTTGCTATTGAGTTACTTACACTAATACTAAGGAACACTAGTAACTCACCATAAAAGAGTTCCAAGCAGTGCTGACACACAAAACGTTCACAAAAGTATTACATTGATATTTCCCTCTCCTCAAAAGGAAATTTTAGAAGGACGCAATAGAATGGTTACTTCTTTTTCAGGATAGTTCTACACCAACTACCTTTAGTCTACTAATTCCTTCCAAAGAGCTTTTGAGGGACGAAATATAAAAGTAATTTTCTTGTGAACTTTTTATGTGATATCAACTGCCTGGAATCAGGCTCACTCATCATGTCACTCTGGTCACTTCAGGTGTTACTCATTTTCTTAGTATTATACCTATCTTATATTGTGTATACATTCCTAGACTTTGATTTCTCAAGTTGCTTTACCTTAAATAAAGACATTTGGATGCATACAAGAGTGTGCAGAACTTAATTTCATTAAAAAAGTCATAAAATCCAAGGCCTACATAAAAATCAAATCAGTCATACAACAAGTTTTTACCAAGTAAACTAGCATCATCGACAAAGTTGGGGTTGTCTAACAGCATCTGTTGTGCTTCTTGCCATGTTGTGCGATGATCAATGGCCAACATGGCGTCCAATATGGATGCCAATTGGCGCATGTTTCGCTTTTTACGAGCTTTTCCTTCTTCTTTTTCTCTCTTGGCTAAGTTGAACACACAGTCATCGTATATGTCTCTTCTCTCAGAGTCTGGTACATTTTTCCAAAGCTGAAAAAAGATTATATTTCAAATAAAGAAGCTGATCATTTAGATTCAAACTAATAAGTTAAGCGTAATAGATAACAGAGAGTTTCATAATTTTTCCTGAGGTATCAGACATTGATAGTAACAAACAAAAAAACCTTGATCTACAACTATATGTAATATTCACTTAACAAAATCTATGTGAACTGTTCCTGACATTTGTTCTCACCACCTGAAGAAAAACCAGGCGGTTTACTACTGCACTAAGCATTAAGCAATTGTGTTTTCAGGTAATGTTAAACCCTTAGTTATGGCCAAGCCGCCAAAACCCTTATTTATAGCCAAGCGGCCCAAGGCATTGACCTCCCAGTCAAGAGTGTTCAAATCCTCATTTGGTCAGATCTAATGTGCAAGTCATAAGGAGTTCCCTTGTTCGTTGCAGAGATTGTGTTAAGAGTTCCACCAAAAATAAACAATGGACGACTTGGGTAGACTCTTTGTGACTTTCACTTGACATCAGATATTTAACTACCTCTGACTTATAATATTAGATTATTTATTTTATAAAATAAGGAAATAAACATATACAATCTGGCATAGATTAAATCAATTAATAATCCTTTTCATTCAAATGGTTAGTTAAAAAATATGGGGAGTGTTGCTGAAGGTCTAAGTCCCGGAAGGTCTAATTAGACCTTCGACACACATTTTGCAGTTTGTACTTGTTGCTGAGGGTCTAATCTGGCAGTATGTCGAAGGTCTAAGTCCCGGAAGGTCTAAGAGTACAGTCAATGCAAAAAACTCATCCATTGATACTGTTTTAGACCTTGCGGGATTGCACACAATGTATATTTTGTAAATAAATTATTATAAAATGAGAGTTGCTGAAGGTCTAATTCCCGGAAGTCTAAGATTCGAGTCCCGGAAGGTCTAAGATTCGAGTGCCGGAAGGTCTAAGATTCGAGTCCCGGAAGGTCTAAGATGTGGGCGGGCATTGCGTCGCCATAGATGAAGGCTATACAGGCAGGCAATAACGCAACAACTTTTAGAGTTGTAATAATCTTAGTGATAGTTTTAATAACTCTCACGTCTTTTTTTTTTTGCTAGCTCGTTATTACAAGTACGATGGAGATATAAAAAAAATCCTTATTTATATTATATCATTGACTATTGGATACTTTAATTTTTGTTACTGGCATAGTTGCTGGGCCATAACAGTTGCTATAGCTCAGAATAAATCATTACATCAGTTTTAATTGGTAATTAAACACCATTGTGCAATCGGCAGAAATAAGCTAAATAAGTTTGGCAAAAATAAGTTAATGTTGGTGTTAAAATAGCATCGTTAGTTTCCTTGGTGTTCAGGATTCTGTTTTGTTTATTTCAGCTTAACTTAGCCAGTAAATAGTTTCATCCATTGACTTTATACCACATATATAGTCAATGTTTCATCTTACTAATATTATAAATCTAAAAGTTTGTGAATTTTTGCGTGCGTGCGTATAAGGCCGGTTCAAAGACAATCGATGTGATTTTCCACCGTGGGTCCGAGGTCCCCGCTTGTTTCGAGGTCCTGGTGCGAGACCTCGGATATAAATACAACCGAAAACGTGTTTGATGCCAGAGAATAATTTTAATATCAATATTAAGTGATTTTGAGCGAGACCTTGGAACCCTAATGGAAAGTTTAAAACTTCTTCACGGAATTTCCGATAGGAACGTAGCGATAGTTTTTACTTGTACACAGTGTGGCATGTGACATAAAATGACATTCTCCGCGGGAACCGATGTCCGTGTCCGTTTCCCTCACATAAAATGTATACACTATACACCCTCTGATACATCCTTCAACTAGAAGCAGAGGCTCCCCTTTAACCCCCACCTCCACCTCTCTCCAAGATGACATTGTATTTCAGATATCATATCACTAACGGCAGTCGGCAGTCCGAATGGAATGGGAACAGTTGCTATTCAACACCTCACGAGAACGTTGTTTCCAAGCTGTGCTCGTTTGTTTCCTAGACGAATAGCAGTAGTAAAATTAAAGAAGAAGTATCTTGGTTGTATTATACCTCATAACGTAATTATTAGTACTCACGTGGACCTATGAATGTTTATGCATTTTTGGAACGTACTACACATTAACTTCAAAATAACATGTAAACATGAGTTGTTTATGAGATAAACAGTTTTATTCATACCATTGTTACTTAAGCAAATTATTCCAATACCCAAATATCAAAAAATAATTACAGTATTAAATAACACTAGTGGCTTGTAGGGACATAAGTCCCTAAAAAGCTCCAATGTAAAACAAATTATTGTATTGTTTAAATAACCTCAGAATCAAATTTTATTCAGATATCTCAGTACATAATTTGTTTACAGTTTATTGTTTTTTTTTCTTTATGATAAAAATAAAAATAATGATAATAAAAAGGCTTCTCTGATTGAAATATTGGAACTTGTTATCGTCAAATATGAAAAGGTGAATAAAGGTTTGTTGAGATAAGCTTATAGTCCGTCCGTTTGGTCATTATACCCAGCGGATTAGGAACCTTTTCGGAACCCAACTCACCCTCTCGACCCGATCGTCGGGCTGGCCGGAGACAAACAATGACTCACCCACTGGCACAGTCGCACAGATCTGTAACTTGTTTTGTTTTGTAATGTCATAAAAAGTATTAAAAAGTATTAAAAGTTTTGAGTTAAAATAAATTGTTCTTTATAAATTTGAGTTCTACAAAACATTCCAAAAATAATGAGCCCAACCACGAAGTGGATACTTAAATATATACGATCTGAAAGCATAACAATTAGGTACTCTGTATCGTCACCAGCTTTGTCAAACTTTCAGATCGTAGATAAGTATCCACATCGTGTTTGGACTCATTATTTTTGGAATTTAATGTAAAACTCAAATTCAAATTTATTTTAACTTAAAACAAAAAAATTACATATCTGTGGGACTGGGACAGTATCTTTTTATCAACAACCAGCCTGGCAAGGGGGTCTGAAGGGCGAGTTGAGTTCGGAAAAGGTTCCTAATCCGCTGGGTATCATAGCCAAACGGACGGACTATAGTTCTTAGTGAAAACCTCTAAATTAGCATCTCGACACAGTTATTAGTTCTACGGTTAGGACCAAGCTCATTTTATAAAGGTTTGACAAAATTAGTGTAAAGTAAAGGCATCCCACTGACATAACATAAACCTAAATTTGATTCTGTTCGACATTACAAAAACTACTGTTAGCCTAGTGTAAATATATGTGGTGGTAATCCTCCTAAGGTGCAATTGACTTTACATATTTTATAAGGAAAATGTCTAATCAAATTCTGATTACTAACTATTTTGCGACTGGTTTTGGTTCATTAGACCCTAATATAAGACTCTATAGTTGATGATTTATTTAGAAAGTATTTGCCATTGAAAAAGTTTTTATTCCATTTATTCTCTAAAGCAGTGAGTAAGTTATGTAGTAAGCTATGAGTACATTTAGGGGTTACAGTGTGTTAAAACTAAGAAAAAATTACATGCCGTGTAGGGGCCTATATTCGACGCCATGTATCTCTTAAATGAGTAAGTTTAGAGATAAAATGCTAAGGGTAAAAAAGTCTGAAAATTTCATATACAGTCTAAAAAGACCTTAAATTTAAAAAAAACATAAAAGATAATGATCCCATGGCACAAAATTTTAAAATAAGAAAACTATGTATTTGATGGCCTTTTTAGAAAGTGGAAGCAATTTTAAGACTTATTTACTCTTAGCATAAAATATAGGGTCTTCCATAATATAAACCAAAGCTGGGGGCCATATTGGAAAAATTGTTGCTAAATTGTTTTTTTTTTTCTAAAACTGTTTGAATAAAAAATCTAAGACCTCTTTCACACTGTCATGCGGCGTTGGTCTATGGGAGTTTTTGTATAAGTTTTTTTCAAACGATGTCCGTCGCACGCCTGCGGCCTGACTGACGGCGAATTCGCCGAACGGCACGCGAGTTACCGCCAGATGCACCTACTCCGTCAAGAAGTCTACGTTGAAGGGCTAGTTTGGCTGCGTCCCGAAAGCCACGAATGTTTATGGCTAAAGCTGAAGACGAAAACCACAACAATTAGTAAAGGGTCGAAAAGGTTTTAATCCTGGGGACGTAAGCCACGTCTGCGAGCCAGGTAGATAGCTGTCAGGGTGGCAGCTCACAGGGAGAACGGGAAATTTTAGCTCCCTGTTTTATTTATGCGTCTCAAGCAAATTCGTAAGTCCAATCTGAATCCGCCGTGATATAAAGGTTAGAAATATACTTTTGAGCTCTACTACTGTTTGTTATTTTATTCTACTGTCTGGTTATCGTTAGTGTACTGTAGTTGTTCATCGCAATAATTAATTTCAAGCAAATAATAACTCTAGATTTTCCCATCAAAACCCCATAAAATAACGGAAAAATATTATTTTCCCAAAAATGGCCTGAACGATTTTGATAAAAATTTAGTATGTTATAGTCCTTTATATTCTGAACAAAATGGTACAAATCCCATTTCTGTAAAAATTACGGTTCACAAGTTATTGTAAATTATGTCATTTTCCCATAAAACCCCCATAAAATAACAGAAAAATCGGATTTCCCAAAAATGGCCCGAACTTTTTTGATAAAAATTTAGCATGTTATAGTCCTTTAAATTCTGAACAAAATTGTACAAATCCCATTTGCGTATATTTACTCTCACCACTTACACATGATAAAGGTTGTTGACAAACTTATGGGAGAAAGTATGTGTCAGAATGCTGATACTGTTTATTTAGTAGTACAATCAGTTCCACCATAACTTTATTGAAAAGATATATACAAATTTTAGTTAGGCTACATATTCACCTTGCATGATGTGATACTCATAACCCTCAGAGGCCCTAAACAGTTGCAGGCTCTCCTCAAATTTTATCTATGGCGACGCAATGCCCGCCCGCATCTTAGACCTTCCGGGACTCTAATCTTAGACCTTCCGGGAATCGAATCTTAGACCTTCCGGGACTCAAATCATAGACCTTCCAGGACTCGAATCTTAGAACTTCCAGGAATCAAATCTTAGACCTTCCGGGATTCGAATCTTAGACCTTCCAAGACTCAAATCTTAGACCTTCCGGGAATTAGACCATCAGCAACTCTCATTTTATAAACATTTATTTGAAAAAGTTACATTGTGTGCCCAAGGTCTAAAACAGTATCAGTGGATGAGTTTTTTGCATTGACTGTACTCTTAGACCTTCCGGGACTTAGACCTTTGACATACTACCAGATTAGACCCTCAGCAACAAGTACAAACTGCAAAATGTGTGTCGAAGGTCTAATTAGACCTTCCGGGAATTAGACCTTCAGCAACTGATCCAAAATATGTACTAGCCAGTTTTATACCACATGCAACACATCTCCATACATTGGGATCTGGACAAATAGTAGCCAAAATACCTAAAAACTTAGTAGCCTATATTTATGGGGAAGATGTTGTAAAAATGCTATTATTTTACATTTTAGTATGTTCAAAATATTTCTGATTGTGTATCAAAACATTTCACTTTCTACTCAAAATAACTACACCAGCATTTCCTACTTACATCTAGTTCCCCAAATATTTCCATGCATCGATAATAACGAGTTGTAGATGTCATTTTGTCAGTGGTCATTAAAAACTCTTCCAGGTCTTCTTTGGCTTTCTTAGCTCTCATCCTTTGTTCTTCTTTTTCTTCTTTGAGTTTCTGTGTTTTGTAAGCATTAAATGCTTGTTTCTTCTCATTTAGGTGTTTGAGATGTGGATATCGAGGGTCGGAAGCAATCAGCTTGACAGCTTGTTCCCAAGACGCATTACTAGGGACATCCTAAAACAACAGAAATTATTTGATTATTTGATAAATCTTTTTAAAACACATTACAGCTGATGAGTAGGCAAAACATACTCTTGTGCTAAAAGTTCTCAGCACTTCCCACAATCTAAACAATTGTATGTAACAAAAGGAGGCCTTGTCTAACAGTTAGAGGCCTGGGGATTGATTGGTCAACATGTAAAAAAAATATATCTACATTTATAAAGTTTACATTTTCTCCATCACCATTTACCGTACTTTTTTGACATTTTGTTGAAATTGTTAATTTTACTGAGCCACACTAGTTGAATTAAACAAACAAAATTTTTGGGAAAAAGTGGGTGTGCAGCTGTTTTTTACAGTGGATGTCATGAATCAAAATTATTCCTTACTGCGTCTACACCCTTATCTGTTGCAAAGGACGGGTAAAGTAACTAGAATACAAGTATATTAGTTTACGCAACGATTGCGTAAAGATAGTATTAACGACAGGAGTAGAAAATTTAAGGTACGAGCCTAGGCGAGTGCCTTAAAAACTTCTACGAGTGTCGTTAACACTATTTAAGCGAGTTGCATACACTACTTTACCTACGACAGTTGGAGTTGGAATCATTACAATTTTACTTATTCTCTCTCAATCCTTGAACCTCATTGGTCCATTACCCGTGTTGTTTTGAGTAAAACTATGCTGTTATGAAAGTAAAGAATGCTGTTAAAAAAAACGGTCTAAGGTAAAAATCTTAACAGACTTGATTGCATGTTATCACAAACAATCAGTGTTAGCTAATTGTTATACGTTAAATAAGATGGTTAAAGTGTTTTTTTAATGGTATTTATGAGATTATTGTGGATCTTTCCATCTCGAATAGCATAACAGAAAGTTTTCAAGACTATTCAGAACCTAAAATCTGATTCCATCTTCAGGCGAGAAAGTACTTGACAAGAATAACAGGGGCCGACACAAACCCACAGCTGAAGGTGGAAAACACAATTAAAAACCACACACAGAAAAGTACATTAAATAAACAAATATAACAACTTAATAAAAGGATAGATGGAACGTATTTTATGGTTATTCTGATGGTTATTACAGATCCAATACTCACTCTTTCCTTTAAAAGTTCCTTGAAAGCCTCAATAGCTTCCTTCTTATCCTTGTAGACCAGTTTGTTGGGCTCTGGTGTGCTAGTTCGACTATCCGAGGCAGACTTCAGAGATGACATGCTGTCCTCGTCTGCAGAAACATCATTAAATTTGTTGAAAACATTTCATAATACAAACCCAAAACAGAAACTGACATTGCATAGGGATAGTTTTATTATACGAAAATTAGAACAAAATTTGATAAAAATATAGATCTGCAATTACCAGTAAAAATAAATGGTTTAAAATCACATTCTTGTAATTTTTAGAAGGACGAGCTGGTGGCCCGTCCTACGTACAGGAATCGAGTTGTCAACTAAAACGGAATAATTCAGAACATCTAGTTTACACGCATAGACACAAATTCTGGCAGTTTTAATGGGGAAGATCACCTTATAAACAAATGTAACATGACCACCTATTTATTCCATTCGAATATAGACCTAAAATATGGCGATATGCATTTTAAATCCGATAATTTTACCATAAAACAGCATTTGTGTCGATTTGAAAAATCTGGAAGTGAGATTGGCGACCGATTCACTCTGGTTTTGAGTAGAGTAGCTACATGCCACCTCCAACTGCATACTGTACTACTTATGTACTTACCGTACCTTATCTTACCTCCGTGACCACTGAAACTTTTATGAGGGTTCTCTTCTATAACCTGCCTCTTCAAAATTTAGATCCCAGTCTGAGGATGCATTTCATAACTTGATATTTCCCGTCTATCGTGTGGTACTCCTTTGAATATACTTTTTAAAAGTTGCACAGCCTGTGCATGCAAACTTTAACTACTTCTGGAAAGCATCCCTATATTTGGGTGTTAACACATTTCTCTTAGCTCTCTGTTCTTTTTATTTCGACCTCCGGGCCGTTATCTTGAACTGGTCTGTATATTTTGTCCGCACTTTATTCTCTAACCCAGCATTAAGGTTTTTCGGTTCTTTGGTCAGTGCCCAAGTTTCTGAATCATCAGTACTACGGGGATAGTTGGTATGGTATGAGCCGACTTTAGTTTCTACTGCACCCTGCAGTTTATTTGACAGTTTTATAGAGACCTACTACACCGATTGACGCTTTCATCTTTCATTACTAACCAAAATTTTAGTATGCCGACATACTCACATTCAAACATACAGAAAAAGAAGTATCAACACGTAAACCACTTATATCTTAAACAATTAAGCGATAAACTGCTTAAAAAATATTTCCCAAATATGAGTTGAAATTTGCAATTCATAAACTAAATACTTACACATATTGCGTTTACGACAAAACTTGATTAAACGCAAGTGTTTGAGATGTTTAGTTCAAAATAACACATTTCCTGATAACGCAGATCCTTCACGGTAGGGGAAAACTACCTACATTTTAAAGTGAAATAGTATGTAGGCAACACCAACAAACAATATTTTTGTAAACAAACAACTTGTAACATAAATATTTCAATGACAGTTATAAACCAGCTGTTAGTTAAACCAGCATTGAAAATACTTTAAATTGCTTGCGTCGGCTGCCAGACTTTTTAAAAATTAAAACTTAATTTCTAAAAAACTGAAACCCTAAACTAAAATTATGGCTTCGACATTCCCTAGTTCTCAAAATTATCTTTCTTCCAACACAAAAATCATGAAAATCCGTTAAGTGATTGATTCAGAATCGTGAAATAAAAAAACCCTGTTTCGTTTTAATATTATAGATTCTAATATGTGTCCAAGAAAGAATTGTTATACAAATAACCCAACTAGGAAAAGAGATCCAGGCAGTCGATAGCAGAAAAAAGTTCAAATACAACTCCTTTAACTAAATATTTTGCCCCTGCAACAAGACTTCTACCAAAAAGTTGCTAAATTTATCATTGCAGTTGTAACAGTTTTGTAACTACCCTTCTATTAAGTTCTTCATGGAAAATCTCATTGGAAGGGTGGAATATCAGGTCCAATAAGGTAATTCTTTGATGTTGGCCTTGTCGTACATTTATAATTCTTCAACAACAAAATTTTGACATAAGTCTTCAATACAGTCTGTTCATATAACATGTAAGTTAAAAATGTGTCTTGATTTGAATCTTGAAATTACAAAACATTAATAGGCCCTACATTATTGGCGATGTATTTCTGGTAAGGTTTTGAAGCATTGTCTATATTTATTTAACTATGCTTTTAATTACTGATAACAAAATACGGTATATTTCCCTTAAAACCAATTTTCCATCAAATGGACAGCCTAGTCCTATCACAAGTCAGACACATCTTTTGAAATAGTAAGACAGATTCAAATGATACTCACTGATATTGGCTGGAGGAGTAGGAATACTGATAGCTGCTAGGGTAGCCGCCACTGCCTGGTCCAGGGCAGACGACGAACTCGAATGACCTGTGCATCAATTTTAAAAAAGTTTAAAAAAATAATGGATTTTGCTGATGATTATAATATGAATCATGTAAAATAAGGGAAACTCAGAAAAAAATCAAGCCATAGGTTACCCTTAGAGTCAAAATGTAACCTTAAACTTTTTATTAACGTATTTTTAGTAACATATCATGTCATACTTCATACTAATGTTATAAATGTGAAAGTTTGTGTTTGTTTGTCTGAAGTTCGAACACATTAACTACTGGTCGTATTGGGCTGAAATTTGGCATGATGGTTGCTCACATTCCCAATGGATCATGAGGACCAATTTACCAGGAAGTGCTAACAGTTAATGGTACCATGAGCTGCTGGGACGTGTAATGTACGACCATACAGGAAAGTGGGCTCCACCTGGCTGATATTGTTTTCCATAATTAATGCACTTATGAAAAATATAGAAATTTTTTTACTAGGCAGTAGAGCTCTTAATGGGCTAGAGTTTAGATTTATGATATATATATATACTAAGTCAGATCATCTTCAGCGATTATCTGAACACCCGTGACTATATTTGCAACACCAAGCAAACATAACAATTAAAAATAATTATCTACTTACTTGTTGAAGTAGTAGAACTTCCTTTAGACATTGATGTTTTACTGAAAAACAAAATCAAGATTTGAAATAGTTTGAAAATATGAATTAAGAGATATTGAACATCTTCTAACCATTTAAAAAGGGTGTAGAGTTGTCATTTATTTGTCCTGGTTTTGCTACAGATGTTTCAAGACAAGAACGACTCTTGAGAATAAAATGTGGGGCATTTGAAAAAAATGAGTATAGAGTACACTAATAGCTAGAACAATATGTCTTTGGTAATGTTGATTCTGAAAAATACTGTCAGTATGGATAGCTATAACTCATTATAATCTTAGGATTTTTTGAAAGGATAGCAGGCTTACCTGAATGGGAAAGAGTCCAAACTGGCACAGGAAACACAAAACTTTACACTATATACACAAAACAATAGAACATTTGTTTTGTAAAAACAATAGAATATAAACTTTACACTATGTTTTGTGTAGTGTAAAGTTTTGTGTTTCCTGTGCCCGTTTGGACTCTTTCCCATTCAGGTAAACCTGCAATCCTCTCAAAAATTGCTAAAAACCTAGACCCTTGTGCTCTATGTTACACCCTTAACCTCGTTATAATCTTAGTAGAAATTTGAAAATATCTTTTGATTTAAACTTAATATTTCACCTTAAAGCTTCTTCTTGTGCAATTTTGGTCTTGAGATCCTCCAGTTCCTTAGGAATCGTCCACCGTGATTCTTTGGTTGTCACATTATGGTAATATGTCTTCCCGGTTTCTGATTTGTATTCCTTCCATGGACACTGGGAGAGTAACAGCTGAACAAAAATTAATGTGTTATAATATATAACAATAATAAATAATTAAATATATTTATAACAATAATTAAATAAAAAAGAATATAAAAAAAGGGTACTCATGTTATTTTATATATTACTAGCTGTAACCCGCGGGCTTTGCCTGGGTTTAACTTCTTAATTTTCAAGATGATCTCGTTCGCATGGCTCAGTCACGTCCTGGTTGAAGTTTGTTCGCTATGCTCACTCACCTTTTGGTTGAAAATTAGCTGTTGTCATAAATGTAAAAGAAATAATAGTGCTGCATCCTGTTGGTAATCCTTGTAACTTTAATGCTATTGAACATTATAGAACAGAACCAACTTGTTTAATGAAACAGCTGTTAAGATTCATTAATTCCATTTCTCATAAGGTAAACATGGGAAACTCCAGAGCCACTGGGGCGGAGCCGATTGGACGGATCACAAAATTGATGGTGTATAAACCTATTCCATGAAATTCTACACGTATGTACCAAGTTTCGTGGCAATCGGTTCAGCGGTGTCTGAGTTTATCACTGTCAAATATATATATATATATACAAACATCCTCTTTTATACTTATAGATTTATTAATATATATATATAGGCTATATTTAATATGATGATAAATTTATGAGGGGTAGGTTTATGAGTGTTTAAAGATTAAATTTATAAAGAACTATATGGAGATGCGCCAGGCACCCAGTTGACTAGTGTTTTATATGTTTTGTGTGTGACACATTTTTCAGGCAAAATTAGAGTACTTAAAAGGATCAGACAATGGCGTTCACGTCGCATTATGGTGAAATGTGCATAACCCATAGAGGAAAAAACTTGGAACACAAGGCGACAGGTAATTAAACCTTTTAATTTATAAGTATTGTTGTTGCACATGACCGATAAGTCTGAATAAAGGCAAAATAATTGTCCAAAGCATAGTCTGCCCTGTCACGAGACAACATCATATATCTAGGGTTTGAATTCCATCACAAACCGGTTTGGTACAACTCACAGGACATGTCTGTGGTAGAGCTTGCTGGAAGAGACTAGTCTAAAATTAACCGTCGGAAAGCTTGGGAGAGAATTGACAGGATTGGAGGATTTTTTGTGAGGATTCATCTCACCTTTGATTGGGTGTTTTGTTAATTTGTGTGTGTGCAGTGTGCATACCTAAACTTACTGGATTATAACAACAACCTTTAAGCCTATAATAAATAAGGATATTTTTTGCTAAGATTAACAACAGATAAAATAATATTGTAATCAAATTTGTAGCTATTAATTATGTCGAGATCTGATCCAGCACTTACAGTTGTAAGTATATGTTGGTTTAAATAGAAAGACTTAGTTGAACAAAGCACACAAAACAAAATGTACCAGCTTACTTCAGCAGGAGTCTTAAGTTCATTGGGTTTTTCCCAAAGACTTTGCTTGGTGGCAGTGTTGTAGTAGTAAATCCTTCCATCAGGTGCCTTGTGTTCAGTCCAATCAGTTTTCTTTTTGTCTTTTCCTTCATCAGAAACTGACCTATAACAACATATTTAATCAAAATTTTAATTTTCTTTTCCATAGTCAACTGACCAAAATTTTACGGTTTTTGCCATAACAGTAGCAGTGAATGTATTACACAGTAGAAACCAAAACACAAAACTAGTTTGGGAAATATGTAGTCATATCTACCTAAATCTCAATTTCTTAAATATGGCCATATGGAGTGTAAAAAGTGGCCGTGAAAACCTGTTATCATTTGTGGTTTTTATTGACAAGTCTAGGTACTCACCGAAAACACAATTTCTTCTAAAATAAATATTTCATCGGCCATTTTTAAACTCCCCAGCCTATTTCCGCACTTTCCCCCCTACCATTGCTTTAGATATGTCACAATCTTCAATTATATGGTTTCTAGTGATGGTCGAATCTAGGAATTTTGAATCTCAAATCTGAATCTTTAATCTTCGAATCTCGAGTCCCACAAATAATTACAAATGGGATTATGGTGATTAAAAAAGCAAGAATGGGTTAGGAACCATTTAACACTTATAACCTGTCACAGTATATGCGTTATAATTCTATTCTTAAAAAAATAACTTTTTTAAATTTTCGAATCTTGTTAATCAAATCTTGAATTTGAATCTTTTCTTAGGATTCGGTGGATTCAAGATTCGGATTCGACACATCCCAAATGGTTTCACTAAACTTCACTAATCTGGAGATGAATGTCAGCATCTGATATGTTTCTGGTTGCAAAAAACGTATGACTGACCTTATTCCCCACACAGCGGGAGGTTCGATGCTTTAATAGGTTTTAAAAATGCACAAGATTACACGTCTGCTACAGAGCTGCAAATGGTGTCATTCTGTTCATAAATTATACCAGGAAGGGGCGAGGAGCCTTGATACGGCATACACACAAACTACGGAGCTATACACTAAAACAGCCCTTAAATAAAAAACTAATAAATCTTAATCAACATGGGGTTTCCTTAAAATCCAACCCATAGGGGAAATTAACACATTGAAGACACTCTTATTGGGGTTTTGTGAATAAATCCTACTTCAGAGATGTTTTCTCCTATAAAGTGAACGCCTTTAAGCTTTTAACTTAGAAAAACCTTATGAACTCACCCCAAAGCTGAAGAGATTCCTGGACTTTCAGGAGTGTCTGTTGGTATGGGTGCTTCTCCTGTACAACATATCATTAAAATATAAAATAAAATAATAAAATATGTATATGTATATAAAATATGTATGTTAATAAAATATGTATTCTACATCAGAATAACGGATTTATGATTAAAATCTGACAACATTAGTAAACTACTACCTATCGTTTGTTGCTACATGTAGACTTAAACAGTAGGCCAACTTATAGACAAATCTTTAGAATAATTCTACTTTAGTTGTGTAAGCGAGTAGAGTATACCGAAAATGTGGTTTTTCAACGGATAAACTTATTAAAACTTATATAAGTGGTATGGATTGTAGCTTGTAAGCGTAAAAAATTGCGTAATTGGCTTGAATGTAAACAAATTATCTTAACATATAACCTACTGCTTATTGTCAATATGATATTTTCACTTTCATTACAAACTTTGTTTATCTTCGAGCTGGTGATTTAATTTTTTACGTTTACAAGTCTTGTCATATAAACCACTTTTTCTATGATAGCACATTAAATATTTATCGCATGGAAAAGATAATTACATATTTACATTCAGCTTAAAATTCCACAAATTTAAATAGGCCCACTTAAATTGAGTGTTTCAAAAATAATAAAGGCTGGCCTATTCTTTTTTTTAAATTTTATATTTATTTGACTTTTCCAGTGAAAACAACAATCATTTTTTATCAACTTAAAGACATTATTTTGAATCAGAAAAGAAAAAAAAATATTTTAACATGACGTTTGAGATCAATACAAATCCATTTATTTTAGGTTTCTGATAGGCTAGTTATAATATTTTGGTATTAATAAATTGTCTGGTTAGTTGAGTGGTTATGGTGTTTGCCTTAAAATCTGAAGGCTACTGGTTCGATTCCAATCAAGATATACAGCCACAGATATACAACAATATGTAGGCCTAGTTTAGGCTATATATCAGAAATCACATAGGCCTAAGGCTAAATGAAATACCCCCCGCCGCAGCAAACCTGCAGACTAAGCGAATTTCCATCTGCCTGATTGGATTTACACTAAAATGTCTCCTTAAAAATATCACATTTATTCCCTATTTAAATAACATTAGTTTAATAAGTAGCCTGGGTACTTAGGTTTGCTGCAACAGGGAGGGTAAAAAGGGGTGTTTTTTTTTATTTTTTTTGTAAAATGTTAATGGTTTAGTATGAAATGAAGGCATTTTCCAAATTTGATCAAAATATGTTCATGAACAAGGAAACTACAACAGTAGAATAACATGGGAATTTTAAATTTAGGCCTACAGTTTTTTTTAATTTTCTCCGTAACTTTGAGGCGCATAACCACGCTTCAGTATACCAAATTATTTGTTTTTTTTAAGCTCTACAAAATAGTTTGGAAAGAAAATGCTAAATTTCAAGTGTTTAGGGTCAAAAATGGGAAAAACCAATTTTTACCCCATAACCTCCATTAATTTTTAAATACACATAAATTATACCAAAACATGGTAAATATCTTCAATTATAATAATCTTACCAACAATAATAATATAGGATACAATGTACATAGTATTTACAATACATAGGCCTAATCTCAGGGATTTTTATAAAATCAACGGTTTTTGAGTTAATTAAGAAACAAAATTTTAAATGGCCGCCATTTTGTTTTATGAATTAGAAAAATCCAATCGTCATAATTTTTTTGTAGCTTTGTCTAGTTGTCTATAATGTTTGTGCAGAGTTTCCATTTCGTATGTTTAACCATTCTTTAGAAAAAAATTAATAACAGAAAAAAACAAAATGGCGGCTGTGTGAGTAACTAATTTAAGGACTTCCGAACAATTTAAATATGATATTTAGGTATGTTTCTTACCCAGGAGCAATGCCCTAAAATATTGGTAGAGAGTTCCGGGACACCCTAGGTATATAAATATATATACAGTAGAACGTCAATTATCCGAAGCCCGGTCATCCGAAACGTCGGTTAACCGAAAGGAAGAAAGAAGCAAAAATCAATAAAATCGCGCGCCAATCACGACTGGCCGTAGCGCTACGCCACCGCACGGCTGCTAAGTGGTGAAAGTCTAAATATAGCACAAAGGTCTGACCCTCCCCCTTCCCCCCAAACCCCTACTCCATTCACTGTTGTTACGCCCGCTCACTTCGAGGTCATTGCACAACCCCTTCCACCCTTCTATTGTTTTTCATTGCCAGTCAGTCGCCGGCGACTGCTTTAAGTTGACCTATTCTGTTGTAACAACAGCTAAAAAAATAGGTTAGGACAACTACCTCTTGCTTATTTCTACAATGTAAAAATATTTGTATTACTGTAGAATCTACACAGTAGTAAATATTATCCAGTATTTCACGTAAACACAAGCTACATTTTAACAAATATTGATTTTTTACCAATTTAAACCAAACTCGACTCGAAACTGCCGAGTTAAAAAATAAGCTCGAGTTTCAAGGCTGTACTCGACTTGAATTTGAAATTTCAAGTACTCGCACATCTCTATAATTAATCAAATTTATATTATTGTACACTATCCATAGACGCGAAATCGGCAAATCGCCGCTGGCCGCTATCCCTTCCCGTCATTTCCCGTTCCCCGTATTTTTCCCATCAATGACCAATTATCTGAATAATCAGTTATCCGAACAACCCCAATCCCCAATTAATTCGGATAATCGACGTTCTACTGTATATATATATGAATTTGAAAGGATGGTGTTTTAGGCCTCTAGGGACCTCAAAACGAAAAAGTAAATCGGTCCCGGGTCCAGGTCTTACCATGAGTACTCCGGTAATAGCTTATTCCCTATAGGGAAATTCGCTAAAAAATATATTGTCAGTGTCTCATGCATAAACATCTATCAATACTGTAAAAAATAGTAAATGTATGAAACTAATGACAAAAAATGTTTAACTTGTTTCTTTGCAAATAAGAAATTCTGTAGACATGGTCCTAAGAAACCAAATTACCTGGAGGAGGCCCAAAACCAAATGGTGGTGGAGGTAGACCAAATGGGGGAGCCATAGGAGGTCTTGGTGGCAGATGCATATCCCCGGGCATCATGGGGGGTGGAATGAAAGAGGGTGGTGGTCCTCCGCCAAACCCACCAATAGGAGGTGGTCCACGGGGAGGAAGTCCTGGCATAGGGGGAAATGGACCACCCGGCCCAAACTTACCAGGGGGTCCAACCATGTCATCAGGAGGGTTCTGGAAAAAACATTTTACAATTACCAGACTAATAACCTTTCTTAGAGGTTGGGTTACCTATAGGATTTGGGTGGATTACATTAAACACAATGATCTTACAAACATTTAATCTACCCAAGACAATTTGATAAAATACCCCCGCCGCAGCAAACCTGCAGACTAAGCGAATTTCAACTTGTCTGATTATATTTCTACTAAAATATTTCCATAAATAAGACATAGGTTATTTTATTCCCTATTTAAATAACATTGGATTTAACGAGTGCTTATATCCATAAACAAGTAAAGTACAACAATTTTCATTTTCTCCATAAGAATAACATAGGAATTTTAAATTAGGTACACTATTTTTGAATATTCTCCGTGACAGTTAGGCATACAAACAGCGCTTCAATATACTAAATTATTTCTTTTTTTAAGCTCTACAAAACGGTTTAAAGAAAGAAACTGCAAATTTGTTTGTTTTTAGGGTCAAAAATGGGAAAAACCCATTTTTACCCCATAAAACCCCCCATAAACTCCTGTTCCAATGGTCCAATTATGCTGGATCGCGAACTCGTTCGAATAAATGTAGGTTTACACGTTTGTACCAAATTTCATCAAAATCGGATCATTTTTGCTCGAGTTATCGCGCTAACGGACACACACACACATATATATCTAATATATAAAATTCTCGTGTCACAGTGTTTGTCTGCAAACTCCTCCGGAACGACTTCACCGATCGTTATGAAATTTGGTGTGTAAATTCTGTAGGTATGCGAATCGGACGTAAACTATTTCCCGTTTCGAAATTCTTAAAAGGGCTCCGCCCCAGTGGCTCTGGAGTTTCCCATGTTAACCTTATGAGAAATGGAATTAATGAATCTTAACAGCTGTTTCAATTAAACAAGTTGGTTCTGTTCTATGATGTTCAATAGCATTAAAGTTACAAGGATTACCAACAGGGTGCAGCACTATTATTTCTTTTACATTTATGACAACAGCTAATTTGCAACCAAAAGGTGAGTGAGCGTAGCGAACGAACTTCAACCTGGAGGCGAGTGAGCGTAGCGAACGAGCTCCAACCCAAAGGTGAGTGAGCGTAGCGAACGAACTTCAACCAGGACGTGATTGAGCGATGCGAACGAGAGAGGCGAGTGAGCGTAGCGAACGAGCTCCAACCCAAAGGTGAGTGAGCGTAGCGAACGAACTTCAACCAGGACGTGATTGAGCGATGCGAACGAGATCATCTTGAAAATTAAACGTAACGGTACCTACTTTCTTTCCATCGGTCTGTCTTAGGGGAAACCTATAACTTAGGCGATACGAAGTTCGCCGGGTCAGCTAGTATATATATATATATATGAATTTGAACGGATGGTGTTTTTGGCCTCTAGGGACCTCAAAACAAAAAAAATCGGTCCCGCGTCCAGGTCTTACCATGAGTACTACGGTAATAGCAATAGCTTATTCCCTATATGGGAAATTCGCTTAAAAGGAGTTTTCCAACACTTCAATATTATAAAATATTAAAAAAATTATTACTCCCCGATAAACTTAGCCTATAACTTACCTATCTTCAAAGTGAAACTCAAAGTGAGACTATAACTTAATGCGACACTGCGCTGTAGGTAAGTTAAGGCTACCCGGTAGTTCAGATTTAGCAGATTATAGTTTGGTTGATACTGATAAAAACAAACAAGGTAGGCCCTAATAAAAAATCAAAAGTTGATCATATGCTGTGTGATATTTTGTTAAAGAGATAAATTTTCGTATTATTTAAGGTTGTCAAATCATAAACATTAGTTCAAATAAACTAACCCCAACGCCGCATTGCACTGTAAAAAGTGGGGGACGAATTTTCTTGTGATAGATCCAGCAACCTTTTGATTGTTAGGCAAGCAAAAAGTTATAACCACTCAGCTACCCAGCCAGTCATATGATAAAAGGTAGGGCATACCCAAGGATTTCTGAGGAACAGTGCCGGATTGGGATTTGGGATAAATAAGTTTTTTACTGTTAAATAAAATAGGCCTTAAATGTTTGAATCTAAAACATATTAACAAGCAAGCAACAATTGTAGCCTATAAGTTATAACTTATAAAGAGGAATAGGCCTATAACAATCACACTTCGTTCTACACTCATCCTTCACTCTGTAATACTTTTAATACTTTTCTTTGAAATGGCGACCATACAAAGTAGGTATTTTAAGCCAAGTATGAATGGAGATGAGTGTATGATGAGTGGCGCGATCTTGTAGTCTTGTTAGTGACTAAGGCCGACATATTCCTTAGATACAGCTGTTAATTAATAGCCCATACAGCTAATTGCGACTAAGGGACCTACAGTTTATAGTGGAATCCGAACCACTTCTTTTCCTTGGTATATACGAATTGGTCTAATTATCAGGATAGTACTGCGGATAGTCGTAGTACCTACTCACCCGTGCGGACGTTAATCCATACCGGGGAGTATCGCATCTACAGTGCATACCTATAAATATCCACTCATATTTGGGTTAAAATAGGTAACTTAAGGTAGCCTTACCTAGGTAACTTAGCGTCCTTATCTCAACCGGTAATAGGACAAGAGTCTTAGTAACTTAATTTAATTTGATATATTAATGCCAACGACTTAACCAATACATACATACATACATTAAGCATGTTCTCCTAGCAGGGTACCGTTCGTAGAGGATATGCGTAGGATAACCGAACGTGGATAAGGCGTCCGGCAGCGAAGCACCGGGTTGTGGGGACCCGGAACACCATTACCAAAACGATACAATGTACAGCCATCGGTGTTGGTGGTATAGTGGATAGAGTACTAGGCTTATGTACAAGACGTGTAACTTAGGCCTATCTAGATCGAATCCCATCGGTGACACTAACTTTTTGTCAACGATTTTGCTTAGAATGTTCTTTCTTCTGAACTGTACATCGTTTTTTAGAATTTGAGGCATTTATAATTTTATTTTATAAACAGAATTTAACCTTCATTCAATTTTTTTCATTATCAGCAAGTTTGGTTAGGTTATGACAGTAACTGCCGGACGTCTAAGGCTGCGGCCACACGGGTGTTTTTTTCACGCACAAACGCAGCGTGAAAACACGCGAAAAATTAGAGTAACATTGAAACAAATAGGCGCCCGCTACTGCCGGAAAACACACTGTGTGTGGCATACCTCATTACATTTAATGCTGCTCATATTTCTTGCGTTTTTTCACGCTGCGTTCTTGCGTGAAAAAACGCCCGTGTGGCAGCAGCCTAATCGGTTACCGGACGCGTATCCTCTGCCATTAACTAAATTATAAGCTAGGTCTAGGCCTATTTGGTTTTTAATAGCCTAATAATAATAACAATATCCTATTTCCAGTAGGCCTATGCTCTTGAGAATCGGGTGTCAAGAAAAAAAGCCAAATAAAGATTCTATCCAGACAAAGCAATTTCTTACAGCTTATAACTTAGTCGGCTAACTTAGTTTGTTTATTATTTGAGGTTTAGGCCTAGGCGCTAGATAAGCTCCTAGATCATACAAAACTTACCATTTAAGACAAGAGGAACCAATATCTCAAGCTGATGGAACTGAAAACCACTTGAAAATAATATGGGACAGGTCTAGATACTTTTACGCAAAATGTATTGTCATTTAAAATACATTTTAAAAACAGAACATTCAATAATAGGCTAGGCTAAAAAACTCAAACTCCTACTCCAATATAATCCCAATTCCCAACCCTACCGGCCAATCTTGTTTTTCACTATTCACCTTGTTCTTTGTTGCCGATATCACACGCAAAGAGTAACAGAAAACAAGAACTATTTCGATTAAAGATCAAACCACTTTTTATACTCTATGTCTGTAGTTTGGAATGAATCCAATCCTCCGGCACAATTTGTTTTTCAGGATTAATTTTGCCAACAGTGTCATTTAGAGGCTTCTGATTGACTATAACGAGGTTTAGTAATTTAAACATATTTTTTGTTCATAGAATAAAATTATAAATGCCTCAAATTCAATTTTATATTTTTTTATTATGAAATTAAACCGTCATAACCTAACCAAACCAACCAAACGTGCTGACAATGAAAAAATCTAATGAAGGTTTATTAATCGAAAAAATAGTTCTGTTCATAAAATAAAATGATAAATGTCTCAGATCCTATTTCATAATTTTTTTATTATAAAATTAAACTATCATAACCTAACCAAACTAACCAGACTTGCTAACAATGAAAAATCAAATGAAGGTTTAACCGAAAAAAATATTTCTGTTCATAAAATAAAACTATAAATGGGTCAAATTCAATTTCATAATGTTTTAATTATAAAATTAAACCGTCATAACCTAACCAAACCAACCAAACTTCTTGATAATGAAAAAAATCCAATACAAAAAAATAGAGCTACGGGTGGGATTCGAACCCGGGTCCTTGGCCCATCAGCCCAGCACTTTATCCATTTCATCACCGAGGCCGTTGGCATCAACCGTATCGTTGCGGTAATGATGTCAGCCAATCAGAAGCCTCAATAAGTCAATAAGTCATTTATTGGGCCAAATTGACAATACTTGCATTAGCCAAGTCAGTACAAAAAAAATAAATTCATATTACATCTTAATAACAAAAAATTCCTTACTTTAAAAATTCTATAACTAAATAACTAAACATGCGCACATGACTTTGTGAATGACCACTAAAGTAGAAATTCACGGACGCTGTAAAATGATCTATCTAACAACATGGACTTCAGACCTGTTCTAAACTTTTTTGGATCTTGTTCGGCCTTCAATTGAGGTGGAAGTCTATTAAATAGTTTTACAGAATTCTAATGGAAGTTTCTTTGAAAGAAAGAAGTGGAATGCCGGGGAATTGGTAGATTTAAAGTATTGCGCAACGGATACCTCTGGAATTTTTTGCAGATGAGATAAAGGAAGTATTTTTGCTATGGAAAGATAGAGTTTCGAGGATGTAAATAGATGGGAAAGTTAAAATTTTAAATTCTCTGAAATAATCTCTGCATGATTGTTGTTTGGAAATAGAAAACACAATTCGAATTGCCCTTCTCTGAAGCCTAAACAAGAACCTAGTCCTCTCACTTTCGCACCCCCAAACAGGAACCGCATAAGTCAGATGAGGGTAGACAAGCCCATAATAGGCTGATAATAGGACATCAGTGGTGGCTGATTGGCTGAGAACTCTCAGCATAAATATACCCACCGATACTTTCTTGCTGACGTGCTCGATGTGGCTGTGGAATTTGAGGATTTCATCAAGGACAAGACCGAGGAATTTTACTTCTGAAGAAGGGGAGATAGTGTTATCGTCGAGGAGAATGTTCAAGTCATAGTGGGACCGTTTTGACCGGTTAGAAATGGAAAAATGGACTATTTGGGTTTTTTGAGCGTTCAAGATTAGGTCATTTTCTTCACACCACTGAAGAAGGGAGTTTGATTCCAGAAAGGCGACAAGTTCCAGTTCCTCCATACTCGGTCTGGACACAGTTAGGGAAGTGTCGTCCGCGAATAGGCATACATTTGCCTCCTTTACGCTAGATGGCAGGTCATTATAATGAACAGAAGGAAAAGGATCGGCCCCAGGACGGACCCCTGTGGCACACCCCTCTTTACTACAGCCTCAGAAGATACATGGTTCCGTAGATAGCCCGTGTTATCAACTGCAGGTATGATTACAGTCTGCCTTCTACCTTCAAGATAGGACGAAAACCAGTCGAGAGCTGTGCCTCTAATGCCCATGTTATTCATTTTGCTAAGGAGAAGTCTATGGTTTACGAGGTCAAAGGCCTAACTGAAATCAAAAAACATCCCAGCTACTGCTAGTCTAGAATCCATATCTTTTACAATTCCGTTTATGAGACTGAGAATTGCGCTTGTCGTTGATTTGTTTTTAACAAACCCGTGCTGACTTTTAAATAGTACTAGTGTCCCTGTTGCTCGAATTCGAGCAATTGCTAAGTATTACAGGCGTTATTTTAAAACTACTGTAATTTCAACCAAGTTAGCAAATATTTGTAGCAAACTGTAAATTAGCAAACTTATTGACGGTTTACAATTAACATATATGCTCTTCTTCTCACTTTTGATTTCTGACAACAGCTGGAGTTTCATAACAATCTTTGTTTCCAATGTTAATCTTATGGAAAAATACGAAACTTTAACGGGCTCCAGGGCCTCACTCTCTCATTATTTCCCTAAAAAGAAAGTTTCCTGCACAACTTCACGTTACGCTCTTTCCAATGACACCAAAAACATGACAATCGGTTCAGTAGTTTCGGAGGAGTAATTGTCACAAAAAATCTGCTTGCGTATTAAATAAGTATAGATGCTGTGTTTCTCAAGGAATATCCACAATCTACTTAGCACTGCCTTCTCAAAAACTTTGGAGAAGGTCGAGACTAGGCTTATAGGGCGGTAGTTGTTGCAGCACATTCTATCTCCATTCTTAAATATAGGTCTTATTAGTGATGCCTTAAGGTTGCTAGGAAATCTTCCCTCAACAAAGGAAGTGTTTATCAAGTGGCATAGAGGTTTTGTAACTACATCTGATATATATTTGAGCAAATTCGGGGATATTTCGTCAATTCCAGCAGATTTTTTATTTTTTAATCCGTTAATAATAATTTTAATCCGACTCAAAATAATACTGTAGGCAACACTAATCCTGAAATAAAAATTCAGCATCCAGCCAAGAGACTCCAAAAAGTCAAAACTGGTTAACCGTAAACTCTAAAAACTACGTTAAAACTGGATACTTTCATAGTATCTGAACCGTTTACGGTTGACGAACCGAACCCCAAACTCACAGTTCGATCTAATCCCAAGACTCAGACCCAGACCCAGACCATTTTCAAAAGTGATGCTCCTGCGTCCTGCTTGCTTCGCTTCGCTTCATGCTGTGCTTCATTGCGGTGCTAAAATGTCAAAAAACAAAAAAGAAACAAACAAGTTATTCAAAGCTCATAATCTAGTTTCCCGCTTTCAAATCTGATTTCTGAAATATCCTTGACATTCATTTTGGTCTAACAAAATTTCCAAGTTTGTTTGATTATAATTTAATAAACTGTAAACTACTAAACTAGTAAGATTATGACCTGATTGTGTCTACTGACTAGGCCAGATAGTGATCTAGTCTAGTCAACTTTTAGTGTTTAGTGCATCGTTGCTTCATTTGGGTAAGGTAACCATAATTTAGTCTACTAAGTTTAGGACCTAGGCCCTAATGTATACAAAATATGTCTACTTTAGTAAATTGTACTCCAAATTAAATTATAGGTCTAGTTCCTTACTATGTAAGTTTAACTTAAGTTAGGTCTAAGATAAACAAAGTGGTTGTAAGTAACTTATGTCTTTTTAAGTGATGTTCAACAGGTTCTAGGCCTAGGTTCCTAAATTTGTGTTTACTTTGATTGTAATAGTACATTTTAACAAGGACACCTCACTATCTTACCTTAGCAAGGCCTAAAAAGTAACCATAATCTCATCAGATGTGCTAGCCTAATTCATAAGATAAGTAATGGCTTCTCTTGAGAGCTTCCATCTGAGACGTGCATTAATTAATTCACAGAGGATAGGCATACGCGTTCGGTAACCAAATGTGGATTAGGCGTCTGTCAGTGACGTCACCGGGTTGTGGGGGCCCGAAACGCCATTACCACAACGATACGATGTACAGCCATCAGTGTTTGTGGTGTAGTGGATAGAGTGCTCGGCTGACATGCAAGAGGTCCTTGGTTCGAATCTCATCGGTATCTTTAACTTTTTGTCAAAGATTTTGCTTTGAATGCCTTTTCTTCTTATCTGTATGTAGCCTACATCTTTTATTAGAATTTTGGCATTACCATTTTATTTTATGAAGAGAATTTAACCTTCAATCGATTTCTTCATCATCACCAAGTTTGGTTGGTTAGGTTAGGTTATGATAGTGACTGCCGGATGCCTAATCCTCGTCCGGTTACCGGACGCTTATCCTCTGCGTAATTAATTTAGTATTGTTAACTTATAAGCTAGCCTCTTCGCATCACCACTTTGAGTAGGGTAGCTTAACAAATTCACTCCCGTATGTCTGGAGACTCTACATACAGAGCCGTGTGACGGCCGGTACTGAACCCTTTAACACATTCTCTCCCGTGTGTCTGAAGACTCTACATACAGGGGAGTGTGACGGCCAGTACCGTACTGAACCTAACTTATTAATAACTTATTCGTTAGGTAACCTAACATTTATGTTTGGATACCGTTTTTGTACAGTATTATGACTAAGTTAGTGCCTTAAAAAGTCAAAGAGGAAATGTTTATTTACTTGCTACCGGTAGCCTAAGTTAATTGTCAGAACACAAATTTTAAGAATGAGTAAATTGGGCTAGGCAACATGAAATTAATAGGCATACCTCCACAGTGTGCTAAGCCTATGTAAACTTATTTAAGCTATTAATACATCAACGACAAGCGCCAAATAGGCTACAATATAGAAATAAAACATATCATTTAAACAAAGTTATAACTTACCTAAGTTAACAAATACTGTAGGCCTACAAACAGTAATCCATGCATTATTAACACCATACAGTACAAGATGCATGCACAATAAGCCTAATTTACATTGAAAAAATAAGACTATTTGTCAAGAATGTCTAACAATGCAAAACATTAAAAAAACAACAACAATAAACCGACTCATGCTGGAAAGAATCGTAGGCGTAACTTATGCTATAGCCTACAAATAAATAATAAATGGGCTATTATTGATTCTGCTATAATATTGGTAGTTGCTCACTTAAGTACAGAATCTATTTAACTTATCTCACTGCTGAGTTTTCAAGTCTACGTTAAAGTTACCTATATCGTAAGCTTAACGTAGGCCTATGCTCGTTAATTATGAAATATGATTAGGCTTTCTTGATTTCAACTTAAATGTGATTTTTTAGTCTGCAATTACAACAGTGCTGGCAAGATGTCACATTTTGAGTTTGTCATCCCTCTTCAAAGAAACGAACTTCGCAACTCCGCCGTAGGAGAATATAAAGTTGAAGAGATTGTGTCCTTTGAAAATCTACCAGATGAGATTGAAAGTAAGTGAGCATAGTTTTCGTTAAAGTGGATAAACAAAAATATAGCCTATGTCAAAGAAGTTTTAAGAATTTTTAAAATTATTTAGCCTATTTGACTTTTACCTAGGCCTATATTTTTTTTAAATCATACATGAACAAAACTATATACATACCATTGACCAATATATTACCACAGTTCCTTTGCATGATGATTCATTGCCTTCCATTTGCAACTCCAAGTAAAGAGGGTCTTGCAACCAATCTGTCAAAGATTTTTTAAGGTTCCATATTGATCAAAACTTCCTACTTGTGTTAGCTTACTTAATTAAGAACTCAATCTCATAAGGATACTGTCTGTTCATTTGTTTGTGATGCTTCTTTTGGTTGTTAAGAATGTTGATCAAATGTAATGTGATAAAGCTTTGGACAAATTTTGAGTAGGATTTGTTTATTTATTTTAGAAAATACATGCAATGGGTTCTCTGTACATTATTTTAATGGAATGCTTTAGATCAAGCATTTTAAACATATATATGACAAAATATTTTAACAAATAACACTACAAATTTTAATGAAAATTCCTCTTTATTTGTTTCAGAGAGTATTGAAGCCTTCAATGAGGAAGGTTGCGCTTATATTCTGGAAAACTTTGACACACTATATTCTGTCTTGATTCACTTCAATAGGACAGATTGGCCGTTACTGAATAGAATATTTGACAAACTTGTGCTTGGAAGTAAGTAATCAATATGAATGTAAAAAATATATTTTAATTTTGTCTCTCTTAAAAAATAAGTTAATTGATGTAAAAAGAGTCTTAAAATATTATTTTGTATAAAAATGTATCATAGGCCTATCTTAAACCTTCCTATATTGGGCTAATTTTTACTGGAATACAAAATATAACATTTTAAATTTGTCATTAAAGTGACAAGTAGGCCTATTTGGTAGCGTAGTGGTTTAAGTTTACTTATCATATTTTAACTTATCATCTTTTTAGGCCAGTACACACAAAAAGCTTTTCTTAAAAGCACATTAATCACGGTCCAGTTTCAATCCATCAAAAATCTATTGATTTTCTCAAGATCGAACTGGCTACCTTCAGATTTTCATGGACACAATATATCCAAACAGCCACCTAAGTAGGCTAACCACTTGTACTTTCAAATTTCAGGTTTGAATCAGTTGAAGTATGTCATCGAACCATTAGTGGAGGATATTCCTGATTCTGATACTAGAACAAGGACTCTGAATATATTGAAAATGAACCTTTACATTTTTACTCAACTCCATAGTGCTACTCATGATAAAATTGCCCTTGAAAGCAGCACAACTGTCATGGAGAAGGTAAGAGAATTTTATGATAAATTTAAACTTAAAGATTTATTCTTCTTGTCAAGCACAAACTTAATCATAGGCCTAAAGCTCAGGGATGCTAATAATTAGCCTAAGTGAGCTTTCAGAAATTATTTCAAAAAAATTATTATAGAAGGTAACTTATCTTGTATTTTTTAACAAAACTCAATGATATTACTACTAAGTTCTTACTTTACTTGACTTATTTCCGTGAGTTCCTAGGTGGAACATAGGGCCTCCACAAAATACCGTCATAATACCTGTTTTGGTTTCCACCCAGAGCTCTGTCCCCAAGCTTTCGCAGCTCTGAGATGGAAGTAAAATATTGATTGTTCTGCAGAGAAATAAAATGACAACTAGGGTGTCTACATTTTAGTTTAATTTAGTCTGTTTACATTTTTTAAGTGGTACGGTACCAGTTTACACTTTTAATCAGCTGGTTAAAAAATAAATAAAATCAGGTGTTTTGTATCAGATCATTCTTTATGTTATCAAATTCTGCCTAATATAACATGTCTTTTGTTTTCAGGGAAAAGGAAAAAGAGGGAAGAAAGGGAAAATTGAGGAATTGGGTTACGATTGGGATGAAAAGCAAAGACAAGCTTTCATCGCCCTCTATGATGTTTTACAGCTCCAAGTTTCAAAACTGTGGGACCCTCCTGTCCCTGAGGAACAGTTTGTCAAGTAAGTTTATTGTTATTAAAAATAATATTTTGTTTTTACTAGAGATGGGCCGATACCAAAAATTGTCGATACCGATACCGATACCACCAAAGTACTCTCGATACCTATCGATACCGATACTTCCGATACCTATCTTTTTTGCACAGTTTCTTCCACTAATAATATTATAAACTGTTATACCATAAAAATACCCCCGCCGCAGCAAACCTGCAGACTAAGCGAATTTCAACTCGTCTGATTACATTTTTACTAAAATATTTCCATAAATAAGACATTATTCCCTATTTAAATAACATTAGATTTAACGAGTGCTTAGGTTTGCTGCTACGGGGAAGGTAAAAAGTGTTTTTTGACCATACGTCAATAGTATAGGATGAAATAAATAAATTTGCCAAATTTTATCAATATATACCCATAAACAAGTAAACTACAACAATTTTCATTTTCTCCATAAGAATAACATGGGAGTTTTTAATTACACTATTTTTGTATTTTCTCCGTGACCGTTAGGCATACAACAGCGCTTCAATATACTAAATTATTTCTTTTTTTTAAGCTCTACAAAACGGTTTAGAAAGAAATCGCAAAATCTTTTGTTTTTAGGTTCAAAAATGGGAAAAACCCATTTTTACCCCATAAAACCCCCCATAAACCCCCGTTCCCATGGTCCGATTATGCTGGATCGCGAACTCGTTCGAATAAACGTAGGTTTACATGTTTGTACCAAATTTCATCAAAATCGGATCATTTTTGCTCGAGTTATTGCGCTAACGGACACATATATATATATATATAAATATATATATATATGAATTTGAACGGATGGTGTTTTTGGCCTCTAGGGACCTCAAAATGAAAAGTTAAATCGGTCTCGGGTCCAGGTCTTACCATGAGTACTACGGTAATAGCTTATTCCCTATATGGGAAATTCGCTAAAACACAATATGTATGTGTATCAAACTAATATTTTGGTATGAGTATTTTTACCTTTTTTGGTAGCCTAAGGTGTCCAAAATCCTTATCTCCTGCGAGACGCGTTTCGCATTAATTACAATGCATCTTCAGTCGCTGTCATTGTCAGGTCTCAACATTGCCCACAGAAGTGGTTGTCACGATTTACAAAACATATAACACAGTTCACGAAACACATATTTATATACAGTTTTACAACCATGGTCACACACGTACTGTACATCAAGCGAGCGGGAGACGACACGCGATACCGCACAAGGTTGTAGGCCTACTGGTCATTCCTCCCTTATCTTGTCTTAATCAGCTGTTGTGTTATGAGAGAGAGAGAGAGAGAGAGAGAGAGAAATCTTTATTTTACAATCATCAAGATTGAAAATGGTGTCATTACACAAAATTAGAAAAGAGTATTATGATCTTGCTTTACACAGAGTCATTCTTCCAGTTCTTAAACTCCTCGATGTTATAGAATGGGCGTGACAGCAACCAAACAGACAGGATCTTCTTCAGCTTATCGGGATTAGTCCTCTTCACCTCATCCGGCAGGACATTAAAGAGCTTTGCTCCGGCGTAGGTAGGCTTCCGTTGAAATCTTGCCGTACGATGTGCTGGAAGGTTGAAGTTTGAGGCATTCCTAGTGCGGTGGGAGTGGATATCTCTGTTTCGTTGCGGATCTGCTGAGACAGCCACACAGATCACCTCCAGTAAGTAAATATTTACCACAGTTAGGATCTTCAAGTCTTTAAAGGCCTCTCTGCAGCTGTCCCTCCAACCAAGACCAGCAATCATCCGAACCGCTTTCTTCTGGATGGTGAGCACACGCTTTAGATTGCTCTGCGAAGTGGCGCCCCAAAGAACAATCCCATAGCGCAGCCGGCTCTCAAACAAAGAGTTGTAGGTTGTCATGACAGCTTCCGGAGTACTTATATTTTTCACTCTTCGGAGAGCAAATATAACACTACTAAGGCTGCTGCAGAGCCCATCCAGATGTCCCCACCAAGTCAGCGCGCTGTCGATCACCACCCCCAGATGTTTTGTGGCCTCAACCCGTTCAATATCGGGGAAATCAGACACCTCCTCCCTCAGCGTTCCAAAGTTGAGCTGCTTGGTCTTGGATTCGTTGAACACTAGGTCGTTCATATTGCAGAACTCAACAGCCATGTTTAGGGCAATGAACGATTCAACTTCAAGCTTTTCTTTATCCTTGTTTGATGTGATGAGCACCGTGTCGTCAGCGTACATTACCATGTTGCAGAAAGGACTTGTGTAAGCGGGAAAGTCGGCCGTGAATAGAACAAACAGCACAGGGCCTAAGACTGATCCCTGAGGGACACCTCTATTGACTGCAAGTTTGCTGGATCTCACAGCGGTGCATATATTGTTCTTGGTTTGCTTGATTTCCACAACTTGATCTCTACCATTTAGGTAACTTTGAAACCATGCAAGGGCTCTCTCCTCAAAGCCAAGGGCAGTGAGCTTGGCCAGGATCAGACTGTGACTGAGGCAGTCAAAGGCCTTACTTAGATCGAGAAATATGCCCATGACGGTTTGGCCCTCCTCAAGCTTGTCTATCACATCCTCAACTAGAGAAACCAAGGCGGTAGATGTGGATCTATTGCTGATGAAGCCATGCTGTTTATCCAAGATGATGCCATTCCTCTCCAGGTGGTCAACTATTCTGGATAGAACCACTTTCTCCATCAACTTTGAGAAAGTTGAGACCAAGGAAATAGGCCTATAATTGCCCAGCTCGTATTTACTTCCCGACTTGTGAAGAGGGACCACTTTGGATGACTTCATTTTCTTGGGGACGTGGCCTTGGTTGAAACTAAGGTTGATAATATGGTTTAGAGGCTCTATAAGTTCCTCATGACATCGCTTCAACATCAACGAAGACACCTCATCCAGCCCGGAAGAAGTTTTGTTTTCCATGCTGTTGATTATCTTGACAAGTTCCTTCTTCGATGTAGGAGTGAACACTGATGTTGGATATTCAAACTGCCATTCATGGGATTGGATGTGATCCGTTTTCTCAGTCTGTATTTTCTTAAGAGTCTCTTCTGCAATAGACGTGAAAAAGGCGTTGAACTCATTAGAGACATCAACAGGATCATCAATGACTGTTTCGCCTATGTTCAGATGTGCTGTGTTTGAAGGTTCTCTCTTTGGTTGCCTTTCACTGTTAATAATTTTCCAGACCGCTTTACTTTTGTTGTTGGACTCTGAGATGTAGGTTGCATTGGCTGCCTTTCTTAATGATCTCAGTTTTAAGTCATAGGACCTTTTTAACTCATTAGCTATTTCCCTGTCTTCATTTCTCCCACTCAAGATGTAGATGTTGTGCGCTTCGAGGTACTGTGTCTTCAGTAAGCCAGCCTCCTCATCAAAAACATGTTTAACAGTACTGCGAGGTTTCGCTCGGGATCTCCTAACAGGGCAAGCTGAGTTTAAAGCGAGCGTCACAGTCGTGATGAAATTGTCGTAAGCTTCTTCGACGTTGCCACATTGTAGCACTTCATTCCAATCTTGTTCAGCAAGAAGAATCTTCAGATGTTGTAAAGTGTCATTGTTGATGTGTCTTAGGGTTGCCGTCATAGGCACACTTTCTCTGATTTCAGGCAATAGGTTGAACAGTTGTCCTGTGTGGTCCGAAATTCCAGTTTGAGCCACCTGAAAATCCACTTCACCCAAGCGCTGGGAGGAGATGCAGAACATATCGATGGAAGACGATGTGTCCTTGGTGATCCTGGTAGGAGGAAGTTCCAATCTCTGAATGTCATAGGTCGCTAGAAGTTCATTGAGAAGCGTCCTCTCATTGGATGGTTGAAGATGGTCAACATTGAAATCCCCGATGATAACGGTAGTGTTGTTGGCTGAAGTCCACTCGTCTAGCACGTTCGAGAGTGTCTGCAGAGCAAGAGAGAAAGATTCCTTATCATTCTTGGGAGGGCGGTAAACACCCAGAACATTCAAGCGTGACTTCTTGCTTATAACAAACGAAATGGCTGTTACCTCACAAATCAAAGGGGTGCTGAAGTGCTCAAGGTTTAATGAGATTATATCATTGTTTATGCTATCATGTTTGTATATGGCCACACCTCCCTTCATCACATTGTTCCTGCTGAAAGCCGAGACAAGACTGTAGTTGATAAGCCTGGTATTAGCTATGTCATTCTCGTTTTGGCCATGTTCGGTGATCACTACTAAATTTGGATTCGTTAAGTGGAGTAAATGGTTCATTCTTTCAATTTTATTACTGATCCTGTCTGTATTTTGGTGGAAAATAGTTAAACCTTTGGCATTTTTCTCGCTGAATTTATAAAACTTCTCTTGAACCCTGTTGGGTCTTTTAACTTTGACTTTATCTTGTGGCTCTGTCCTAAAAAATAATGATTGTCTTCTACGATTTCGACTGCTGTGTCTAGATTGGATTTATCTTTCACTGACGGAGATAGAACTAGTGGGAGTTGATTTTCTTCATATTGCGGCTGTAGTAGTTGTGTTTCTTTGCTGGGAAGGACACGAATTTCTTCTTTGATTTGTTTTAGAAATTCTTCAATGTTATTGTTGAAAAAGTCTTCAAATGTCTCTCCCTCAAGAAGAAGCTTGGCGCTAATTGGCGGCTTCCTAAGAGTTCCAATTGCAATCTCTTGCTCTTCGCAAATAGGTGGTTATCCGTGGTAACCTCTTCCCCCTCTAGTCTACTGTACAGACGATAGGTAACTTTATCAGAAAAATCTTCTTTAACATTTAACAAGCTATGTTTACCCATTGAAGTGACCTTTTTGAAAATAAAGTACTCCTCCCATATTTTCGACCTTTGAGCGTTATCACAGGCTTTTAGCACATTTAGCGATTTATCAAAACTTATATTGTGGGAAGGATGTTCTTTCAGGTGTTGGGCAACTTTGGACGTGGGATTTTTTTGGTTTCGGGCGTTATGCTCCTTAAAACGTTGTTTGAAAGATCTATTAGTTTGTCCAATATATTCTTTATCACAATCATCTCCATCATTGCATTTAATAAGATAA